GGCTTACTAAGTTATTTTAGTTAATATTACAATGGTGATTAAATGATTAGATGTAAGTAGGCGAGACACTTGACATTACGTAGAGAGGTGAGAAATTCGTAGAAAATGTTAATCTGGAAACCCGAATGAAAAAGCCCTATTTAGAAACCTAAGTGTAGATGGAAAGATAACATTAAAATGCGTGGTAAAGAAGAATATTATGAGGATGTGGACTGAAATCCGTTGGCTGAGAACAGCGTTCAGTGAGTAGCGCTTGTAGCCACGGAAATGAACCGTCGGATTCCTTAAAAACTGAATTTACGAACTGAGAGGCCATTACGTCCTCAGTAAGGACTCTGCTGCGTTGAGTTACTCATAAAAATCTTTATAAAATTGTCTATAGTTAGTACAAACTATATACGAAACAACAGAACACAACATTAAACAATATAAATCACCGTATCCTCCTAATCATCTTATATTTTAGATTCTAATTTTTCCTTAGCCATCCTACAATTAGAATCCTTTATGCAAACGCGAGTTGCGTGCGATGTGTTCGACCATAGTTAACATCCTAATGCTGAGAAAGGTGATGTCGGAAATTCACGTGTCATGTGTGACTGCATCATTTATTTTTTACAAGTTCTGACTGGTCGTTCCCCTGTCACAGGGTTCGAACCATGTTACTGTGAGGCAAATTTGAAAGCTTCTAGAACTTTGCATGGGTTTCTCCGGACATTACCTAGCCCAGCATTAAGGAACCAAAAGCTACCTGTAAATTCTAGGACCTTCTATAGATCGTACACTCTTGAGGCTGGACGTAACTGCAAGCTACATTTCAAAATGCCTGAGAAACAGTCTTAAAAGTTAAGGTGGGTCAAGCCTTGTACGACAATGGTTCATCTTGCAGGAGTTACCTGTGTAAATGGCATCTCCTCTTGATTACTTCTTATCTTTGTTGGGCTGGAATGTATACGTTGCATCTTTTCAGTTTGCATAACGATCAGGTCGAAGTTTTCAGCTTCCTCGAAGCATAATCATTTCAAAAGAGCATTGGTACACAAACTAATCAACTCCATGGAGCAGTTGCTCATCTAATGATGAAATTCCTCGTATTTCACGGAACTCGAATGCCCATTATTGTGTAAAAAAAGTAAGGCTGTCCCACTACACGCCATGTAGGCGCTTGGGGGGAGTGAAGGTATAGCTCCTACTCATACTTGACCTCGGCACTAGATGGGGTGAGTGGTCAGCATCACGCCCCGGCCGGCTTTACCCCCGGTAACCATTGGATAGGAGGCTGGGTGGGCCCCAGAGCCGGTCTGGACGCATAGGCTAGAAGAAAAATCCTCTGACCCCCGTCGGGGATCGAACCCCGGTCGTCCAGTCCGTAGCCAGTCACTAATACCGACTGAGCTACGCCGGCTCTGCCCATTATTGTGTACAGAAGAGAATAATGAATCTGTAGTTAACATAGAAACATGCTGATTCGTTTCATGCGTATACCACAATCCCAGGGCACGCTGTACACACGAGGAGTCTTAGGTCCCAAGTCATTCTTCTTGGGCTGAGGTAAATTGGGTGTCTTCTTCGGCGGAAGGACAAGAGACAATGTTGTACCTGGACATCCGCCTACTAATTGCGATTTAAGGTCGTTGAAGGTGGTGTACGGGCCGAGGCAGATGTTTTCGGGGGCGGTGTGTATCTCGTCGGTCGGTTGAGAGCCCCTCGGATCTGTCGGTCGCTGTTGCCTTTCTGCTTGTAGTTTCTCAGGAGAACTTACATGCAGAACAAGTGGTCTGATTGGTGGGCGCCTTTTTCTTTTTTCATTTCAACATTTGAATTTTGTTTTGTTTTGTGTAGTTTATTTCCATATCTAGAAGCAATCTAGTTTTGAAAGTGTCCCCAGATTTTAGTTTTACTCCAGTGACAAATAATGCAATAAACGTCGATATTGAATTTTTAAAAACGGAAAGGTAGAGGCCGAGCGAGAAGTGCTGGCACTTGCGCAAAGGACTGATTTTGGTCGTATGAGACGGACCCGTCCGAAGCACGATCTAGAGGGATGTCATCTTCAGTTGGTTTGTAGCTCTAGCTGTGTTTAGATCGGTGCATCACAGCAGCTGAGGCTGTGCGACCTCCACTACTACTGAACTCCCCTCTTACACATCGCGCATTTCGATGCCACCACTACTCGCGCAACCTATAACAATCGCATTGAAACTGCTACACCGAGTGGACCTTCAGTAGTGCCTTTCATTACACCTAGACATTTTCTCCTTTGTTACATTGCAGCCAGATGTAGCTTTTTACCCACGTTTGCTATGAAAGGACTCGTAAGAACATTAGCAAAGAATTGTACAAACGAGTCCAACAAGTCTTCTTACATATAACTTAACAGAATACAATGTAATAAAGTAACAGATTAAAGTAATTGAAATAATTATGCTGGTATTAGGAATTATATAAAACAATAAGTTAAATTAATATTCAGACTGAATCTAAGTCATTCAGCTGGGCCATGGGTGAACGATTATGCTCTTTAAAATAAAACTAGGTTAAATCATATTATAACGAATTTGTGGAAGATGGTGTTAGTAGAATATGTGCAAAGAATGCGCGTGTAAAATGTATATCCCGGAACAAAATACATCTTTGTAGTTGTTTTACCCTCGTTGCCATGTTTAAATTGATTACGATGTTATTTTGGTTACCTTGGTTTTCCTGGTCACGGTTATGATGTTTACATTCGCGGATACGACTTATAAGACACATCCCACCGTCGTCCTGATGATGGAGGCAGCAAGCACCTCTGAAGCCTTGGCAATCTACCAGACTACACGGCGCAGCAACCCAGAAGACAGCCGTCTTCATAAACGCAACCGTGAGGACGTGAAATCTCACAAAGAAATATATTTTATATCTCTTTTTTTTTCCATTTTCATTTCACTTTTTCTTTCTTTTTCTCATGACTTCGTCAGAACCCCGTGCGTGCTATGTAATTACGCAGCTTGTGTTATCGAAGCTCCGTCATCCAGATGAAGCTGTTTTCGTACGATTTGCAAAATGAAATTGGCTAGCAAATTGGGTTGTGATGTCCTCACGGCGTCAAGAAGTTTCCTTCCTGTGTTATGCTTTGGAGGAGGAGGACAACCAGTCGCTAAATTCACACCAGAAATGTGTTTTATTGTGTTAGTCATTGAAGAGTCAGGTACGTGGTTCAGATCTCAGCTGGCGACCGGCTATTCTGAGAAGTTGCCTCGTTTCACTCATTTCTTTCAAGGGAACTATTTTAAATGTGCTATGATTTCTACCTACAGCTTCATTTCCGTGACACTATATAGGTATTTATTGAGTTTTAATTTGTCAAATGACGTCGTTTCGATTCCAAAGGTATTTTACGTCGAACTACATAGAAAGGTGATCGTGAGCAAGTAATAGTTTGAAATGAAGCAGTCGTGGCCTATTTCAAGGTTATAATTTGAGGTATTTTTGTGGATGTAATGAAGAAAACCATGTAAAATGTCATTCCTCTGTGACAAAGCCCATATTACGCCCGCGTAAATCAAAAACTTATTATGGACAGAGCTAATCAGCAGTCGAGAGGTTCAGGGTTCAAGTCTCGGTGAGAAAACCGACTGAATGATTCTGTTCCATGATTTCCATTAGTCCCTACAAATAAATTTCAGGCTGTTATATTAAATTAAGCCACGACCACTTCCTTAAATGTCCTTCTTAATTAATTGTTATTAATGATCATAGGATTTGATGCTGTACATTCTGAAATACTGACAGCGTCATTAAATACAATAAAATATATAAAAATAGGCCTACAGAAAAATAATATTTCGGCGGCAGTGAATGTGTGGACTGTAGTCTTTTGGGTAATGACACCATGTAATACTCCGAGCGGTTATCATCGTTTCGGAAGAAGGCGTAAAGCTATTACAACGCGTAGTTGCATAACATTATTGAGTGTTTTTAAAATTGTACTACGTGGAAAAGTCCTTGGAATAATTTTTATACAAATTTATTAAGTACCCACCAATACTTTGTGACGTGTATTTTTCCCGTTGACAATGTGTACCTTTCGGTCAAAATGTGGCACGGCCCAATACGGATAAGAATTCGCCTGAGAATTTGCAGTGCAGACCTTCAGCACTAACTACAAACTCCGTGGAGCAGAGACCTTCATGAGAAGGACATAGTACGCTCAGCTAGTCAAGACATTTCCTGTGTTTACGGAAGCCGGTAGTTTACTAACTTACATTAATTTGGTTGGTTTCGGAGTTGAAATACTACGATAGGTGGATAGACACGCCCACATTACGCTCTTGTATATTTAGTTCAAAGAACGCCTAGAAACGCATTTTTGTAAATAGTTTGTTGGGTGGACTTACCTATTTCTTCAGTTTTCTGTTTTGCTGTTTTTTCGATGAATAAAGCAGTCAAGTTAATCTAGAACGGGGGTTGACAAACACCATACCTGCGAAAATAATTTAGTACAGTCTGCAATGACGTCAAGATGATGATGATGATAGCAGTAATCACAACAGAAATAATTCCTTCAGCCTTAGGCTAGTTTTGTCCTTAACTCTTTTTTACAATCTGATTTAAGTCCTTATGCCGAAGGATGCAAAATTTGCCCTAATATCGTGCAAAAGCTGTCCATGTGTCTTAGCAAGGAGCCATGGAGACGTAAAGGTGGAGGTGGGTGTTTAGCTTCACACTTCGACCATCTTACTCCCAGTCAGAAATATGTACAACCCTCATATTTTAACCATTTTCATATTCCGATGACTAGAATACGTTCACTCATTTGGCTGTTGCCAAAGTCAAATAGTTTACTTTTGAAAGGATGGATGTAGCACACATACCGAAAATATGATTAGAAGTGTTGCGATATATTGGGGCATTTATTTTCAAAGCCTTAATTAATTTTACACGGGTACTTTGAGGATGCCGGTGGATAGTTCGTAAAGTATTTTGTGTTAGTTTCTCTGAGGTTTTATCTGTTTCAGGTCATGTGACCCACATCCGTGACGTTGCCGGGGAGGACCACGTGGGAATCGGAGCCGGATATGATGGCATTAACAGGTACTTATACGCCTGGACTGACTTCTAGTGGCAATTTGATGAACGAAGTATGAAGTCAGTCCAGCGGCAGTCTTAAATAGTGTGAGGTTAAAAGTGAGCTATGTCTCATATTTAATGCATTCTGACATCCGGATTGTAAGAATATTATAATATAATATAATATAATATGTTGAGCGGAGTGAATGTGATCAAATATCAATGTACACGTTTGTACGTGTAGAATGCAGAAATACATCTATGATGTAGTTAAACGTAGCAGATGCTGGCATAAGACATAACCTCAATTGTATATTACTTTAGGTGAAAGGTAATTTAATCTGAAAGTCTGAAAGGAAGGACATGACTCGGAAGATCTAAACGTAGATGGAAAGATAATATTAAAATGGTATTCAAGTAATTATGGGTAGAGGGAGTAGACTGGACTCGTGTGGCTCAGTTTAGGTCACATACAAGGATGTTGTGAACACACTAATGAACCTTTTTTTCCCCCTTATATTTGAGCAACTGTCAGCTTTTCAGGAACGAGTTAGCAGAAGCATTTTTGAAATATAGTCTTATTTTGCTTGTCATAATTCTGCCGAAATGTTATTCCAATACGATCCTGAGATGGGATTTCGTCTTATCCAACATTTGGCCGGAATAAGTATGACATAAGTATAAAGTCCTGAGTTTACCTTCAATAGATATGATGTGGAATTTGTGCTGGGCAAAGCAGCATTCGGGTGTTTTTCAAAGCGTTTTCGTTTTCCCCTGCTTCATACCTGTCTGCCAACGCCCCTTGGTTGTGCGATACGTCCGAACGGCTTGTACGTACATCAGCCTCGGATATTGGTTCGTTTTTAATCTTTGACTTGGCTGAACACAGAGAAAGGCATTTTATTTGAGCCCCAACACACTCTTGTTGAACATTCTCTTCCGCAAAGAATAAACCGAACGTCGAGTTCGAGTGGTTGGCATCCCTACTTCGTATTCGGGAGGCCTCGGGTTCAAATTTCGGCCCGGAGACCGACTATCCATTAGTCCCTACAAATAAATTTCAGGCTGTTATATTAAATTAAGCCACGACCACTTCCTTAAATGTCCTTCTTAATTAATTGTTATTGATGATAATATGATTTGATGCTGTACATTCTGAAATACTGACAGCGTCATTAAATACAATAAAATATATAAAAATAGGCCTACAGAAAAATAATATTTCGGCGGCAGTGAATGTGTGGACTGTAGTCTTTTGGGTAATGACACCATGTAATACTCCGAGCGGTTATCATCGTTTCGGAAGAAGGCGTAAAGCTATTACAACGCGTAGTTGCATAACATTATTGAGTGTTTTTAAAATTGTACTACGTGGAAAAGTCCTTGGAATAATTTTTATACAAATTTATTAAGTACCCACCAATACTTTGTGACGTGTATTTTTCCCGTTGACAATGTGTACCTTTCGGTCAAAATGTGGCACGGCCCAATACGGATAAGAATTCGCCTGAGAATTTGCAGTGCAGACCTTCAGCACTAACTACAAACTCCGTGGAGCAGAGACCTTCATGAGAAGGACATAGTACGCTCAGCTAGTCAAGACATTTCCTGTGTTTACGGAAGCCGGTAGTTTACTAACTTACATTAATTTGGTTGGTTTCGGAGTTGAAATACTACGATAGGTGGATAGACACGCCCACATTACGCTCTTGTATATTTAGTTCAAAGAACGCCTAGAAACGCATTTTTGTAAATAGTTTGTTGGGTGGACTTACCTATTTCTTCAGTTTTCTGTTTTGCTGTTTTTTCGATGAATAAAGCAGTCAAGTTAATCTAGAACGGGGGTTGACAAACACCATACCTGCGAAAATAATTTAGTACAGTCTGCAATGACGTCAAGATGATGATGATGATAGCAGTAATCACAACAGAAATAATTCCTTCAGCCTTAGGCTAGTTTTGTCCTTAACTCTTTTTTACAATCTGATTTAAGTCCTTATGCCGAAGGATGCAAAATTTGCCCTAATATCGTGCAAAAGCTGTCCATGTGTCTTAGCAAGGAGCCATGGAGACGTAAAGGTGGAGGTGGGTGTTTAGCTTCACACTTCGACCATCTTACTCCCAGTCAGAAATATGTACAACCCTCATATTTTAACCATTTTCATATTCCGATGACTAGAATACGTTCACTCATTTGGCTGTTGCCAAAGTCAAATAGTTTACTTTTGAAAGGATGGATGTAGCACACATACCGAAAATATGATTAGAAGTGTTGCGATATATTGGGGCATTTATTTTCAAAGCCTTAATTAATTTTACACGGGTACTTTGAGGATGCCGGTGGATAGTTCGTAAAGTATTTTGTGTTAGTTTCTCTGAGGTTTTATCTGTTTCAGGTCATGTGACCCACATCCGTGACGTTGCCGGGGAGGACCACGTGGGAATCGGAGCCGGATATGATGGCATTAACAGGTACTTATACGCCTGGACTGACTTCTAGTGGCAATTTGATGAACGAAGTATGAAGTCAGTCCAGCGGCAGTCTTAAATAGTGTGAGGTTAAAAGTGAGCTATGTCTCATATTTAATGCATTCTGACATCCGGATTGTAAGAATATTATAATATAATATAATATAATATGTTGAGCGGAGTGAATGTGATCAAATATCAATGTACACGTTTGTACGTGTAGAATGCAGAAATACATCTATGATGTAGTTAAACGTAGCAGATGCTGGCATAAGACATAACCTCAATTGTATATTACTTTAGGTGAAAGGTAATTTAATCTGAAAGTCTGAAAGGAAGGACATGACTCGGAAGATCTAAACGTAGATGGAAAGATAATATTAAAATGGTATTCAAGTAATTATGGGTAGAGGGAGTAGACTGGACTCGTGTGGCTCAGTTTAGGTCACATACAAGGATGTTGTGAACACACTAATGAACCTTTTTTTCCCCCTTATATTTGAGCAACTGTCAGCTTTTCAGGAACGAGTTAGCAGAAGCATTTTTGAAATATAGTCTTATTTTGCTTGTCATAATTCTGCCGAAATGTTATTCCAATACGATCCTGAGATGGGATTTCGTCTTATCCAACATTTGGCCGGAATAAGTATGACATAAGTATAAAGTCCTGAGTTTACCTTCAATAGATATGATGTGGAATTTGTGCTGGGCAAAGCAGCATTCGGGTGTTTTTCAAAGCGTTTTCGTTTTCCCCTGCTTCATACCTGTCTGCCAACGCCCCTTGGTTGTGCGATACGTCCGAACGGCTTGTACGTACATCAGCCTCGGATATTGGTTCGTTTTTAATCTTTGACTTGGCTGAACACAGAGAAAGGCATTTTATTTGAGCCCCAACACACTCTTGTTGAACATTCTCTTCCGCAAAGAATAAACCGAACGTCGAGTTCGAGTGGTTGGCATCCCTACTTCGTATTCGGGAGGCCTCGGGTTCAAATTTCGGCCCGGAGACCGACTATCCCTATTGATATATATATATATATATATATATATATATATATATATATATGTAAAGAATGAGTAACTTTTATCCCGCCTCCGTTGTTGATTGGTTTTGCAAATAATTAGTTAAAATAATCCAGAAAGTAATGTTTCTATGTACATTTAAATATTCGCATAAATATACATTTGTAAATCATTACAATGTAAACTGCATTCCTGTTGTGACGTAGGTGTCGATTAATGCAGCAAGACTTGAACTTGAAGGGTAATGTGGTTTGTAACTTCTAATGTTGTCAGGACCCCCGTAGGACTTGAGGACGTGTCTCGGTACCCGTATCTCCTAGCGGAACTGGCGAGAACTAAAGGCTGGACCATGAGTCAACTGGAGAAGTTAGCAGGACGCAACTTCTTACGAGTTTTCAGAAAAGTTGAAAAGGTACAGTGCTGTTAAACCTTACTTATCACGAACACTTCTGTTCTAAGCCCCCTCAGTCCAATCCACCGACTACAATCTGCTCGTGAACAGCATGGCTGATGTAAACATTTTTTAAGCAAACATTTGCCTTTGAGAAATTTATAAATGATTATTGTGATTTAATTTAGTTTGTTATTTTACAGTCAAATAATATTTAATAAGTTGAACGGCGCCGTCATGTGCTTAGCATTTATTCTTAGTATTCCTGCTTTATGCTCTGGAGGTCCCGGCTTCAAATCTTGATCCAAAAACCGAATATATTGACTGAGGTGTTTAGTGATTTTTTTCAGTACTTCAAATTGACCACGACCGCTCTCTTCCACGTACATTCCAATTCATCCTTGACTAATTATCCTAGCATTCTACTCTGTATAATCATAGTACTGAAAGCTGCATAAAATAAATCAGAACTGCGTAGTCCTATATTGACGTTCAAGAATAATTTAGGTACTGACATTATTCATTTGCACTATGTCTGATCGATTCTACAGTGTTCCATTGTATAGGTTACCACTGAACCATGATTATAAGACATTAGACGTCTTATTTTTCGTTTTTCATGGTGTTGGACGAGCTTCCACTGTTAACATGAACACTTCGCCCCTGGTGTTTATGAACAATTTAATGAACTTCGGGTTTCATAAAAAAAAAGCAATTAATTTTCCTGCCAGCTTATAACTTATGAACTTCTCAAGAAAGATTTTGCACCGTGGAGACATTTCACTTTATTTCATACATATCTCTAATCGAACAGATTCTCAGAAGCTGTTCATAGAACAAAGAAATTTATGTCTCATTATGGTCTACAAGACAACACGGCGTCAAAACTTTTTACGAAGCCAAAATTTTCATTACCGTGTTTAAAGAACGGCGCAAGGGAACCCTTTCAGCTCTGTCTAATTTATAATTTGTAATTTATAACTTATACATGAAACATCTGTTTTCATATTCTCTCCTCCAAATTAATGTTTTTATTTTTTATCCATCCGTGCTACATGCCCGGTACTGCGCCTTCATTTTAATCCTACGTGAATAATAAAAATATTTTAAACATTTCAGGTTTTCCTATCCTTGCGTGCTACATGTCACGCCCCTATTAGGTTTCTTGCCCTAACATTATCAGGCAGAGGGTGCAAAGTGTAATGTTGCTTTTTCCATAAAGGATCCTATTTCCTCACACTTAGTAAGTCAGGTACTGGTGTTCGAGACAAGGACTCTGATTGCAGGTGAAGGAAGAGCTCCGGCGACTGGCCGTGGACCCGTACGAAGACTGGATACCACCGTCAGAACTGCAGGAATACAACAAAGATGGCTGTCTAGGCCGATGATGTTTATACAACATGATTTTGTCAATTGATCCAGAATCGTATATTTTTTAATTGCAACAATGCGGCACGTAGCTCACTGTATGAACCGACCGTATGATTTCCACACGCAGTTGGATTCGTGAATGTGTGAATGGGTGTAGATATTGTCACAAAATGTACTGTTACCTTTTTTGCGAATTTTACTATAATATTTAAAACAATGGACAGGTATTCCTATGACATTTTTATTTTTACGTTGGTGGAAAGAACATTTGTTTGAAAGAGAGTAATTTTCCTTTAGCATATTCAATGTATATTTCGGTTACAATAAAATGTGACTTAGATTTATCCTTTAAATTATGTCATTTACCTTGCTTTAAATTTACCCTAGGCTGTAGGAACATAAAATATCGCATTTAGTACTGTAAATAAATTATCAGGATGCCCGCAGTGTTACTGCAGGGAAAATCGACAAATTTTTACATGTTTTATCAATTTTTATTGCCCGAAACTTTCCATAGACCAGATCATACGATATGCATCGTTGAATATCATAGACAGAATTATTATTATCCCTAAACATAACATCTTCACGAGGCTGGAAACCATGTCAGTTTCCTTCTACAACATCCTCATCGAAACAAAGAACTTTGGTCTTGGCGACGTTCTTCTACATGTTTACTTTCAGAGCTACAGGAATCATATTCACTAATAATTTCATAGTCAAAACAAACAAATTTGCCCTTGACAACGCTTAGTTTTCGAGATACAAAATCATCTTTGTCGAGACTTGAACCCAAGGCATTTTTTCTGTGTTACAACCTTTGTTCCTGTAATCTTATCGGCAAAGCAAACAGCTTTGGTCCCCACACCGTCCTTCCGTTGTGCTTGGTTTCCGATTTACACAAACCACCCTCGCCGGGACTCGAACTCAGAACAATATTTCGGCGTCACCTGTCTTAATTTCAATATTTTTGTAAGATTAACAGCGATTTTTTTTTAAAATTCGGCCAATAGTCTCCCGCCCCCTTTAAAATTTAACTTTTTCCGTAACATTCTTTACAGCTGAGGGTCGTGTAACTATGCTGCCTTGCCATTCACAGTGGAGGCACAAAAACAATATACTAACACGAAGCGCTGTCATTGCGTCACTTGCAGCTATAAAATGGCGCCATTTCGGACAGGTCTTCATGAAGATAAATTAAGTTGCGTTGTAGGAAAAGTTTTAAAATATGTGAAGTAATATCACAATTTTCCTGGCAATTTTCTACTTTATTGTGTTCTGTACAATGTTTATTTCTTCACTAGAGCGGAAAAGGAAGCTTGGCAATATAAATTTTCGATATTCTGTCATTTGTTTTATTTGTATTTGAATATCAACATGAACATGAACATGAAAAACTTACTTTTTTTGAGTTTCTGCTACTAGGATTGATTAGTCGCCTAATTTATAGTGATAAAAATCGATTTATTTCAGTTGAAGTAAATCATATAAACATTGAACATGTTGTGTGTATATATATATATATATATATATATATATATATATGTTTGTTTTACCTGTCTGGAAGACACGAAGATTCATTTTAATCTCAGCAGGATTTTAGGTTTTCAGGGCGATGAGTGATGAAGGCGACAAGGACCTGTGAAATTCTGGTAAACTTCTACGAGACTTACAGTTCTACAACCCAGAAGACAGACATTTTAATACTGTTTATTGTTTTTAGAGAGATTAGGCCTATGTATCATCTTTATACTTCATACAGTGTTAAATGGAAGAGTTGTTCAGAAACAAAATGTGGGAAAGTTGGTAAGTACATATATACGTATATTTATCGCTTTCATCAATGTGTGTGTCTTTGTAAAATGAGACAAGAGTGCAGTAGTTACCTGAGACAGACTGTTCCAGTGCACCGTCCGCTCACGTATCGTCCTACACGCCGACAGTGTAGTCCTTATCCCGAGCCATTTATATCCAATCCATATTTTCGCACATTTTTCCTTTAACGTCAATTATAAGCCTTGGTTCTCACGGCGACGAGTATTAAGATTTCTGTCTTCTTGGGATGTTGCGCCTTGTAGTCTAGTAAAATTTTACCGACACTTCAGACTTTCCCGATGCCTCCATCACCAGGGCGATGATTTACCAACAGGGCGCAACTCCCCAGACAACAATAATCTCCAATTATCCTCCGGTATATCAAAAGTCTCGAAATATTTGTGTTCCCTTAATGCCAATCTCCCTTGTGACTGCTATTTGTTCGGCTCGTAACCTCCATCTTGATGTGATCACCTTAATGTGAAGAGTTGTATAATTTGTCAATCTTCTCATTATATGCTTTTGTCCTTCACACTTTTATTTTCCCTTTCTTAGGTAACGCATATATTTTCCTCAGCTCTTTCTATCATCTTGGAACTAAATGATTAATACCACTCGTATAATGTGATGAAACAAACGGATGATGTTTGTTGGAGTCTGCCCAGCAAATGGCAGGAACCCATTTCACCCCCAATTTATTCGAATGCCTGTAATTATCAAACAAATGACTGTACAGTTCAAACTCATGAATCAATCGAAGTCTTAGAGCATCAGCGGTATATGTAACCGAAATGTTCCTCTCTCTTCATATGGACCCACACTCCAGATCGAAATTTAAAACCCCATAAACCGAACGTAGTGGTTCATTGATTCATTACTCCGATTTCAGGAGATTCCAAATTCGATTCGCAGGTCGTAACCTGGCTTTGTTTACTGACAGGGTAAAGTGGGGCAAAAGCGTGTGTCTGGGAGCTAAAGTATTGGAACTACAAAAATTATTTGCGATTAACGGATAATTTCATTTGTTGGAATTCTTCTGGTTTCTAGCTTGAATTGTGGAAGGAATTAAAAAATTGGCATTCAGTTCAGATGTGACAAACGCCATAGTAGGCCACATGAACACAGGTAAAATATTTACTGAATTAAGAATTTCGATGGAAATTTTAATGCTATTTTAGATCTTTCATAGCGAGTTACTCCGGCAATCAATTTTCCTGTTTTCCTCTGTTTTCTTTTAGATTTTCGTGTTCTATCCCCATCATTTTTCCTTGCTGCCCTCCCCCTTCTCTTAGGCAATCGGACAAGGTCTACAGGATAAATCGTTGAACTATGATTTTTTAAAGTGTATTACCCTGCCGTTGTTAATGTGCAAAGTTGCGTATCGATGACAGCAGATCTTAGAGAACACAGAAAGTTCATTGTAGGACAGGACTAGGCACAATATAACGGGGCTCTTAACCAGTGTAACAGATAAACTTCAAAGTACATCCCAGCCTCGAATGAAAGTGAATCACAGAAGACCATAATGATTTATCTTATTTAATTCTTCGTTCCTCTCTTTATTTCTTCTTTCCTTCCTTCTGTATTTCATTTCATATATATAGCTATCTCTTTTCCCCTTATATTCTAATGACAGTAGAGTTCCGATTTTCCGACCTAAACAGGACCGAAGAATGGTCGGATAATTGAAAATGTCGGATAACACGGAAGACTAATTAAAAAGACGAGGGGAAATAATAACTCAGTTTATGATATTATTAAATTATGCATATGATACAATGCTGTATCAAATGAAAAAGTCTCACAAAAATATAGTTTTTAACATAATGCAAATTTGTTTAAAGAGTTTTTTTTAAAATAATGATTGGTATTTGCTTCTGAGCCCCCTTCCTTTTCTTTGCGGCAAGGTCACGTCAGCGTCTGTAGCAACCGAGTACATAAACTGACTGTGATTCATTCGGCTAGTCGCTGAGCTGACTGTTGATAAAAAGGAGCGTTCCGACACTGCACTTCGAATAAAACGGAATTTGAAATAACCGAAAGTCGGATAATTTGGACTCTACTATATCTTATCTCTGTTTCATTCTCTCTTCTCTCTCTGTCTTTTGAGACCTGTGGTTTCATATAAAAAAAACAGCAAAGGTTTTCGCTAGTTTAACATGACACCTATGTTTTCTTGATTGTCTGTAAATCCTCATTAATCCTGCCTTCCAGATAACCTCCCAGGAATCTGTCCTGCGTCTGTTACCACTTGTCAACTGCGTTAAAGTCCTTTAATTATGTTTTTATGCATATGCAGAACAGACCACATGAGTGCTTTCATTTGTTTAAAACACAAGCAGAGAAACGAAATCAAATTTTGACAATTTTGAAATCTCTGTTTTGTTTTAACTAACATAGAATGAGAGCGTTTGAATAATGAACGAGTAGAGTATCCGCACATTTTCTCTAATTAATCCTCCCTGAATCCTTTTTGTCTTTGTTCTTCTGCTGAGTTTGCGGTTAGCTGCTTGGAGCGTGAGTAACACAAATCAGAGTTACCAAAGCTCGAGGATTGAATGATGCTAATGTTGTGGCAAGGCCTCCACGTTAATACTGTTGACGACAGTAAATTTAAAAAATTTAAGTAGTTAAATTTAAAAATGTGAAGTTTGCATTTGAAGGTTTCTGACTACGGTGCGGTATAATATTTAACATTGTTTTAACATTGTTTTTCCATCGTCTGAATTATAAAACTACTACGTTTATAAAGCTGGATAATATTTCGCCTGCATATAATAAAGGGGAAGAGGACAAAACTCCTATGTTAGGTCCCCATGTTAAGCTAATCTCAGGCCTCGACCAGTCACATAATGCTAAGAAATTTCAGAACAAGAAATTATTGTCTTTCCTAGAGGAAGCCTTGTGATTCCAGTTGTAGAAATACTACAGGGCATACGAGCTAACAAAGCGTAATTATTGGGAAAGAATTATCCAAGGGCACTGTTCGGTATTATAATAAATGTATTGATTTTTATTTCTTGCAGATGCAAATCTGCCACTTCAAAGAAAACTGTACTACAGACCGCATACAAGCAGAAATTATTCTTACTTTTCTGGATTCTTATGCGTACCACTTCGAAATAAGGTATGTGTATAATATTATTTGTAAACATTGAAATTATGTATTGTTTTACACATATATTTTTGGACATCAATAACTTCTTTTAGAATCTCTGTATGTGTTTGATTTTATATTAATGTAGAATAGTAGTTATGCTGGACCGATGTTGACTAAGAGTAAACACGACAACATACAGTGCAGACCATTTATTATAGAATTTCATCAAAATATCCATTCAGGAGTTTCGGCAATGTGATATGCTGAGCTGAACGATTACGAAATTCTCATTACGCTTTCATTTTATGCACTGTGAGCCGCGAACGTATACAAACTTTTCATATTCCAGAAGGTGGAATGTCAAAGCACAGATTCAAATTTTCTTGGGTTCTTTATTTTATTTCCACATTCCATAAGAGCTGCAAATGATAAATAATCGTTAATGAGCCATGAACTATAAACCTGTATTTTATAAAAAAAAAATACACTGTTTTATTATGTACTGACTTCATATTGACCGTGCTTGTGTAGGCCTATATATAGTAAAATTGAAGAATGCATCACGTAGGAATTCATACGGAGAGTCACTAAAATTATAAATAATTTCACATAGCTATCTGATTCTCAGTGGAATATCCTGCTGATTACATCCCCACAATTTTCGGGAATATTCTACAGTTTAACCGTTTAAGCTGAAGCTTGTCTAAATATTATTTAAGAACTCAGTCCGAAATACAAAAGTAAGACAGAAGATTTTTTCGTTTATTCAAAGTGTTAGCCGGGTTAACGCTGTTAATATGAACTCTCCGACTCTGGTAAGAAATTAACATATGATGGACGGTCGTGCCCGTACGCATATTCAGTCTTCAGAACTACGCAACGGTTTATGATCTGAAGCTTTCACGGCGACTAAGTATAATTAATTTTTCTCGGATTACCTGCCGTGTTAGGGGGTTCAATGGAGAAAACACCAACGTTTTGAGAACCATCTTAAGTAGCTCGTAGCCCGTAGCCCGAGAATAATTTATTTTACACAAAGATTTGTAATTAAATTTGATATTTGAAGTTACGCTAAGAGTTGTTAATGTGACTGAATTAGTCCACTTAATGTGAAGTTGATATAGGATTTCATTCTCTCAAAACCAGCTTTTCCTTTGAAAAATTCGAAAACAACATAAAATATATACCTTGTTAAGACTTAACGCATGTTATTTGTAATGTTCTTCGATATGGTTAATACTTGGGCAAACGACATAGTAAGTTTAATAATTTTAATAATGATGATCAGTCTCCGGGGCGATGTGATAGAGTCCCGGACTTCTTGAATATGGAGCAGGTGTGATGAAGGGATAAGGGAGAAAAATAAGAATAGAAGGAAAGTAGACTGTGAAACAGAATAAGAAAAATGAACAAAATAACATGAGGAAGAAATGAACAGTGGAAACGAATGAGTAGAGAAAAGTGGACAAAAGTCAGTGAGAAAAAGAGTAGAAGAAAGTGGTAATAAAAAGGGGAAAGAAGATTTTAAAAAGGAGCCGATGAGAAGAGATTAACGTAAGTAGGAGATGAAAGATAAATAAGAGCATAAGATTGAACAAACAATAATGATAGAAGTAGAATAAATAACAAAGCGAATGGGAGAAAGAGAAAATAAAAATCATAAAGAAATATGTCAAGCCAATAACAAAATGCAGATCAAGAACAAGATATTAAAACATTATCACTGAAAAAAGAAACATTCAAATTTATTAGGTTCTTTGTATTTGTATATAACTTCATGTTCAAGAACCCGAATGTAGCAAAATGGAGTCCACGTCACGCCGGAACTAAACGGACACACATCCGAGGGGCAGCGTTCTGCCAAAATGATCGATTGTTCGCGGTTTCGCTTTTTGTTCTGTCCAGCTAACAAATGGGCATCACGTTGAGGGGGTGGATGTAGTCGGCCCCGAGAATACACGACTATACAATTCTGTGACGTAAAAGTTTTCTGCTTGCCTGTAAAATTTATATGTAGGTTTCGTACACAACGTCAATTAAAATCCAGGCTAAGTGAGAATGATGTGCCTTTTGGCTTGCTGCTTCGTTCAAATTCAGAACTGTTAGAATTCAATTTTTACAATATATTTCTTAAATATTCCGCGTAATAGTTACCTGAGCTATAAAAATTGAGACATTATGTTTCTCCGTAACGTTTGCACCTACCTACTAATCAAAATGGCGCCAAAACAAAGACGAGCAGCACCAATATTCTGTTCAAGGAGTATGATATTTCTGGAGCTGGTAACCAATCAGGTGATCAAGAATTTCCTAACCTCTTGTAACATTCGAATACTCATTACCGGCCACTCACTGTCTTTTACTTGTAATGAACTTGGAAGGCATGGACTCATCCCAACTAAAGTAATCATGAATGGTAAATAGATCAGGATTTGTGGGGACATTGTCGTAATTTTTGTCGAGTTTATGTAACGTCGAATGGCATAATTTTTAATTGTGACGTGGGAAGGATGTAGAAGAGAACATTTGACAGCAAAGATTGAAAAAATTCACAAGATCACCGTCAGAGTAGTCGGTCGCCAGGCCCGTGTTAGAAATCGATACCTCGCAGTTCGAGACAATATTGCTAACCGTTAAACTGAAACGTTATATAGTATCAACTTCTAGCCCTCTTTCTTCCATGACCTCGTTTATCTCATCCATCGAACTCTTCCGTGGTCTTCCCATTCGTCTTTTGCCCGGGTGCACCCAATGCATTTCTTTTTGAGGTTGTCTATGAGTATCCATCCTCTGGACGTGGCCGAACGATATTAATTGTTTTGTGCAAATGTCATCGATCACAGTGTTGGTTATATACATTTGTTCGCGTATTACAATATTACGAACGTGATCCATTTTGGATATTCTACATTTCTGCTCCTAGGAGTGTTTTTCTTATTTCTCTCTGTTAACTGCCAGACTTCACATCCATAGGTAAGAATGTTTTTATGGTGGCATTATATGTGTGCACTTTGTTGTTTCGCGTGGTATTTCTATCCCACCATATTGAATTTAGTACACCTAAAGCATTCATGCTGGCTCGAATTCTTTCATATTTGATATACACGCTATAAATATTTATAAATATGGAACGTATCAAGAGATGTTAGTAACTGAAGAGGCCTCAGATTTATCATGTACATGTCTTTTGTGGATAAAACTGTCAGGTTGGCTTCAAAGTCAGTCAAAACTGTTTGTTCATGATTTGCTAAAATTGTTGGATGAAATGTGGATTATCTTGTATTAAATCTGCTGGTCTGACAGTCTTTTTTGAGAAGAAGTTGCTCTCGTATTGACTGCGGCAATGATAAGTTTAGTGTTATTATGTGCCTTACGTGAGATTAGATAGCATTTCTCGTATCAGACAGAATTTATGCCAACCAATTCTTCGGACTTAATTTTACTTTACTTTATGATACAAGATAATAGATTAAATCGGGAATGAGTTGGAAATTGCCCCTTACCAGAAACATATTTAACATGATTAAAACTATATTATAAAATATTAAACAAGTTTCTTAACCGCGTTCCCTTCAGTTTCAAAAGGTTCCTAGACTTGATGCTCATTTATTGTAGGAATAAATCTGTTGGTGCAAAGAAATTCACATTACAAATGCATTTTGCAAGTTTATTTTTTTATTCGATTATATTGGCATAGTTTATTTTTTATCATGCCGAAAAACGTTTCAATAATAGTTGTACAATAAGTAGAGATAAATGAGCAAAATGACTGGCCTTAGATTACAGACTGGCTACTCGTTCATTTACGGATAAAGGCATTGTTTTTTCTCTTCGCCACCGCGGCGAGACAAAATCTCGGCCACAGCCAGCCTCATGTGTAGTGCCCACCGTTATCGCTATTTCCGGCAGTAAAGTTGTCAGAGCAGAAGTTTGACTTCTGGCCTACAACTGTGGCCGACGTTAAGCATACTGGAGTATACTCCACTTATTCATACGTTTCCGTGGCTTATTTCTTATGCACAGGTATAATGTCAATTTATATTAAATTTCAGGTTCCACGGTCTTCTGAGATGTTGCGCCATGTAGTCTGGTACATATTTACCGATGTTTTAGAGGTGTTTATTACCTTTATTATCCGGTGTATAAGTCTTTAAACTCACTTTGTCTTTATTTTGGTTGAAGGCTTTGAGCTCTATATTTCATAAAATGTCAATTTTCATGATTATCCGTTTTTGAAAAAGTCGATATAAAATTAAATTTGTTTATCATATAATACAGACTTGCACTGGACCGCAACAAGTAAAATTTTATTTTGCCCGATAATTTTAACGTAGACCTCCAAAATCGACTTTCAACTATGGAGAGTCATTCTAGACTTTCGGAAATAAACAATAGGCCTAGAGCTGGACATTTGAACGTTCAGACATAGTCCCTCGTTATATTCGCTTCATAAAAAGAACTCGTGATGAAGATACTATGCGATAACGATTACCAATCGCGTACTACTTAGATAAGTAACCTTAGAAACGGATATAAATACTGAGACAGTGGATGAATCAGAACAGTGCGCTGGCAACGTGGGCTGTATTCGAAACAGAAGCAAGGTAACCCACGACGTTTATTAACAGGTTTTGTATGGTTGTGAAATCCGGTCTCTTATTCTGAGAGGAAGACGTAAGTTACCAAGTGTCTGAAAACAAAGAGCTCAGGAAAATATTTGGAATGAAGACGAGCAGAGTAATTGGGCATTTTAGGGGTTAGAATATCGAGGGATTTACTGATTTTTTTTATTACACAGGAGACACAGGCTCTGTAAAAAAAAACTGAATGCAAGGAGTTTGTGATTTAATTGGGGTAAGAGGAACAAAAAATACTCAATTTTGATGGTAAAACCGCTTAGAAAGTGCCCATTTTGAAACTCTATAACAGTATGGCGCGAAGAAAAATATGACGTGGTTATGGGATGCAGATGGAAGTGACTCAGGATCGTGTCCTGTGGTAGCTTTGGTTTTAGCGATGTCGAAACTCGGATGTTACGTCCATTAAAAGAGACCAGTTTTTAAGTTGAAGATGGCTGTCTTCTGGGTTGTTGCGCCTTGTAGTCTGGTAGAAGTTTACGGCGCAATAACCCAGATGACAGCCCTGTTCTGACTTACCGCGTTTTTAAATTACTTACATCGGTAAGATATTGGCATAAAATCAGTTTTGTGACATTTCTCATAACATACATATCGATTTTGTTACATGGAAGTAGGTTTCGGTTGCTACGATCGTAAACCGGCTGGGTTCTCTGATGTCGGGTTCCAATCTCGCTGGAAATTGAATTTGAATATTTGTAGGGCAAGGGAATGGTTGTTTTGGTTGTGCCTGAAATGAAGGTCTATAATATATTTAAAAGGCTGTCCCACATGGCAATGTCGAATCATCAGGATTACTGTTTATTTAACGCGCCAAAAACTATAACTGCATATTACTTAAGGCAGACACTTCGTAGGCTCGTAGTTATACGAACAGTACTTAACATAACTGTAAGTGGAAAGTGTTTACTTGAAAATGTTTAATATCGCTCAGTTGTTCAAGATGTTCACCCTTTGATGAAACCAGGAAGTTGTTTACCATGTTTACTAAAGCCCGCTATTTCATCCTATTTTAAGCCAGTTTAATCCAGTCGACAGTCGTGCATGTTCTTTACATCAGATCCTTGTTATTTTAATTAACAATAAAGTTTAATATGATAATTCTTTAAAATTAATGTAATCCTTAATACACATGGCCCATCCTATTTGATTTAGTTTTGATTTTCATAAGTTATTATTGAAAAGACGATTGGAGTTTATAAAGGATCCATACCTGTAAATACAAAATATATAGACTATTGATTAGGTAGGATGACTTGCAATGATGAGTTGGAAAAAATATGCAGGATTTTACATTAAATTTCCAGTCATTCAGTCTGTCAGGATATTAAATTCCATTCCTTTTACTGTACCCAATGGTTTATTAACGTGTTCACAAAAGTCTGACGCTACATCCTATTTTGTGCCAGCTCATTTCAGTCCCCACATTCATAACTTGTTTATACAGGTTGTTCATACAGTTTCTGTACAGCATAAAACAAAATATTTGCTGCTATTTGCATTTATTTACATTTTTTTAAAATAACAGCATTGCGCGTTGAATGTTATGTCAATTTTAAGTAAATAAATATGTAATATTGGTACAACAGGAAAGTTCCTTCATTTCACATTAATTAAAAGTTTCATCTTGAAGATCCAACACAAAGTTAAAATATTTCTCATTAATGCAATATAAAATATCTGTCGTAATTCACTGTGAGTTGAAAGTAATTA